GCAAATCTGCTTTCTTGATGGTCACCCAAGAACTGCTGTTCACTTTTTTCAGTTCCCTACTTTCTATCCTTTCAGCCTCTGCTCAGATATACTCATATGGATAGTTTACACATTCAATGAAGGGAGACATTCTGGGGATTACAGTACTGATACTAGCTTGGAAACCATGGACAAGCTGCTGAAACCAGTCTCAGTCATCTTGGCTGCAAAGTGGAAAAAGGAATCAGGTGTTCTGTGGGATGACATGAAATTCCATATGTGCAGGCTCAACTCAGGTTGCTTCTCTGAAGTTGGACCACCCCTTCTCATGATTTTCTAAGACTTTTGCTTTCATGCCAGGGCTTTCCCATCTTGTCTGAAAATTCCTTTCCTGTGTTCTTGAGAGTTTGTTTGGAGGTTCTAGCAGGGGAGCAACACTACTCATATACCCTCAACTAAAGAATGGCCCTCCTCTATTCATGGGGAAAGTCACTCCCTTCCTCCAAGGGCACAGCTTTGAGAGGAATGCACATGGAGTGGTAAGGGAAGAAGGGAACACCTTCCTAGCCAGATCAGCTGAATCAACCCCAATGATTAATGGTGTAACAGATGTCACACCCAGATCACCTTCACATTCCTTTCCTTGTCTTTTACTGGAGTTCCTTTCTCTTATTTATCCCTAAATGTTGTTCAATGCTGAGATTTAGTCTCTGGCTCTATGGTCTCCTGCTCTTTCCATTCTTTCCCTTAACACCAACGGTAGTTGGCATTTACTGTGAAATCACTACACACTGAGGTCTGTCCTAGTACTTTACAAGACGTTACGGGGACACCCCTAAATTTGCTTCTGCAAAACAGCATCAAGTCTTTCACTGTCCAAAGCTAACCCTCTCCTCATTCCTCTCTCACAATTTATTCAGCTATTGAATATCAAATTCCAAGTGTTGTCTGTGATGCTCCTTCTCCTTCGTCCACATAGTCAGTCTGAAAACACATTCCATGTTTTTCTCCATTCTGACATCTTATATTAGGGTTTTCAGATGGAAATTCAAGGTGTTTACACTTGGTTCAGTAACGGGTCTAAATACCAGGGTTGTACTGAAACATGAGTGGTCCAGCCCACATCCCAGAATACTAACAGGCCATGAGCTCTTCAAATGAGGCTCTAGGGCTTAAAAACTCCTAGTCCAAGTTTATTGTTAAAGTTTTCAAAAAGTACATGAAATCAGGAAATTCTGACAAACAAGAGGGAAGGAAAAGAAGTTGTCTGCCAAACTACTGTGTATTAGGAATTGTGTAACTGCTGTTGCCTCCAAGACATGGTGATGATATACTTTTTAAATATTAAAAATATGATGCTTCAATATTTTCTTCTAATGACTTTTCAGATAATAGTTCTTTACAGAAGTGACTGACAAAACGTGTTCTTGTTTTGATCTATGATCTCCCTGGAACATTTTTGTCATGGATCTCCCAAAAGTTGATCCCCTTGGAGAAATAAAAGTCATGATTTAGCTTATACTATTGTAATATAAAGTCATCACTGCGTTACTGGATTTTCTATTCATTTATCTAATCATTTATTCAACAAATACTTATTGAGTCTTTACTCTGTGCCAGGCCTATGCTGAATACTGGAGATGTATCTGTAAATGCCTTGCCCTCATGAAGCAGAAAAGACAGCTCACAAGTGAATGCTGGGGAAGGAGAGGGTGAAGAAGAAGCACACGGGAGGCCCTTCAGAGATCAGCAGGCTTTACTTCTCTCACTTGTTTCCCAAGTTTATCTCCTCCTCTCCACCCCTCAGCCACTACCCTCATCACTTCACACGTTTATTTCCACAATAAGCTCCCAGCCTCCAGCCTTACCATCTCTAATTCATCCTCCACACTGTGGTCATCATCATTCTCTAATGCAAATCTGACCATGACTTAAACTTTCCCAGCCTCGAAACACATTTAACCTTTTTCACAAAACTGAAGCTGCTTTGCTTAGGATGATTCCATTCTCATTGGTGGTTTCTTACTTCTCTGGCTTGATATTGTACCACTTTCAGGAGCAAAGACTGAACATCTCTTGCTGCAGCTACATAGAACAATTTCTAGTCCACACATAGTTTTTTCTGCTTGGAAAGTCTCTTCTCCTTGTCTTTGTTCAAGACCCAGTTCACATCAACCTCCCTAAGAAACCTTCTTGATCTTAGCTTCCTTTTGCTGGAAGCTTTCCCTTTGTACTTTCATAGCATGCTAGCCATATCTCTATCCAAACATTACTCACAGCAATAATTGTTAATTAGTGTCATCCAGGTGCTCTTCATCCATGTTTGGCTCTGGCCACATGGGATGGCTTACAGTCACCCTAATTTATCAAGCACTCCCACACATTTCCTCTACCAGGAATGCCTTTTCTATCCTTCCCTACCTGGAAAGGATATTCATTTTTCAAGAGTATCTCAAAGATCACCCGCTCAAATCACCCAGGGGAAGGAAAAAATCACTTACATGTATGTGCTGTTAACACTGTGATTTACTCTGCAATTGTAACAGCTAACCAGATTGCAGCACAGATAGTTAATACCTGTTTCTTCCTTCTTAAAAGCTAGGACCTTTTTTTTTAACTTCCTTATTTTTTTTGTTTGAGACTTCAGCACATAAGTGCTAATGTAGATTTTCTAAATGTTGAGTAAATCCAGGAGGAGGGAATGGAATGTATGGCACATATGTTAAGAGTGCAGAGTTCAATACAAAGCTATTCTACTTTGATTAGTGCATGTATGTTAATCTCATATTTACAACTAGACTGTAAACTCTTTGAGGGCCAGACTACATTTGTATGCAATTTCCAATGCTAAATACAGGATATGTGGAAAATAAAGTGCTTATAAATATAGTCTGCATATAATCAAAATAAAGTGATCTTCAGATGAAGGGAGAGGAAATACATTGTAACCCAGAAAATAAAGAAGTCTAGTAAAAAGCAAAAAACACAAAAACAAAAACAAATCTTGATCTTTTCTTGCCAAGATTTGCAAAGAAAATGATGAGAATGTGCACCATGAAGTAAAAAGTACATGTGTTGACAATTATTTTAAACCCCCACTATGCCAAGTTCAACCTGAAAATATTTCTGGAAAAGTCTTTTCTTTGCTAGATATTTGCAACAACAACAACAACAAAAAAGAACACTTTCAGACTTCTGTCTTACTGAATACCAAAAATCATAAAGGCCAGCCTAAATAATATGCATCCCTTTCTCAATTCCCTCCCTTTTGTTTTCCTTTTCTTTTTTAAAAATCTCTCCACTTTTGACTATGCTAACTTATTAGTCAAGGTTTCTTTCATATGTGAACTTTCTCAGTAAATCTCATATACCATGCTTTCTCCACCTTCAAAGTCACAAAATGTTAAAAGAAAAGAAAAGTCCTTGTCCCAAGCAGCAGGAGAGAGATGGCTTCCATCTGTCATCTCGAAGTGAAGAGAGCCCCTCTGATGACTAGTACTCACAAGTACTGGGTCTTTGCTTCCAGCATTTCTTTCTGCTAGCATTGGCTTGGTTTCCCTTACAAATCCCAGGCTCTGAGATATAGAAGAGACATAATGTACCTGTGTGCTCATCCCACCTTCTAGGCAAAAACATATCAAGATGGAGAAACTTTCACACGTGTCTAAAGAATTAATTTGTGATTATGCTAAAGGTAAATTGAAGAATAATCAAGATGTAACATTTCAGACACTCCAAATTGGTGTCTCAGTCCATCCAATAGGAGCTGCCCACTGCAGAAGTAGAGAAGGGGCATTGGAATTTAGTGAAGGATGCAGAGCTAATCGCTCCTACTGTAATTGGCCTCTAGCCACACCTCTTCTAAATGGCAGTGGATGGTTCCTCTACTATTCCCCTTTGTCCCTGTCCTGAACTCCTCACCTGATGACCAGTTCTTGGATATTTCAAAGAGCCACTCGATTTCAGGCTCTCCCCAGGTACGGGCAGGTTCTCCACACTCCGAGGTCCTGTGCCAATGGGACTGATATTTTAAGAAATCCTTTTCTTGGGACCTTTTCCCTTGAGTAGAGGAGAGATTCAGAACCGTGCCTTTCCACTAGCTAGATACCAGACTGTACAAGGCAAAACAGCTTTTCCACCAAAGAGGTTGAAAGAAAAACGTTATCCCCACAAAGACAAATTATAACCCAGAATCCTCCACATATTCCACACGTGTGTGTGTCATAAAACCCAGGGCAAAAATAAAGCCCTAGCTTCGCCTGCCGCCGCTGCCTCCATAGCAGAGAGCCAGTCCAGCTGCCAGCGCTGCCGCTGCAGTGTGTGTGAAGACAGCACCTTCCCAGGGGAGGAGAGACCCTAGGAGGTGATTATGGCAAACCTTTCAGTAACTCATCATTCATTACGCCCTGACCCAAACCTCACCCCGGCGCCTCTGGCACGGGTGCCCAATGCGAACGCCGTGGCTGTCCCTCCAGTTCTCCAGGTGACACCCACACCACATACACACCACTACGATGAGCCTGGGGCGCAGAGCGGCGGGAGAGAAGGATGGCAGGTGTCCACGCCTGAGGCAAAACCAATCTCAAATGCTTACAGCTAGGAGCGAAAAATCCCAACCCCCTCCAGGGTGGGAGGACTTGGCATCAAGTACCTGCAGGGTACCCCACGCCCACTCAAGCGCACCGGTTTGCATCGCAGCCGGGAATGCAGTCGGGAGGGTGAAACCGGACAGAGGGAGCCTCCACGCCCCCTTTGTCTGCACGTTTCCCAAATGACAGGAGAGGAAAGTTTACGAGCAGGGAGGGGTTAGCTTTCTGCCGGGTCAATCTGACACCTCGTGGGGGGCGAACCTCCCTGGGATCGCCCTCTCTCCCAGCACAACACTGGCGTGGGCACCTTGAAACCCACAAGCCAGGCGTGGGCCACCTGCACCTCCGCTAGGGTCGGGAGCCTGTCCCCAGCTGCCCAGGCACAGCAACGTCAGGGAGCTTTCCCCAGCTGGCTGGTGGCGCCGCACTCACCTCCAGTGGCGGAGCGTCCTCCCGTGCGCCCTACTGGGCCGTCCGGCTCCTGGCAGCGAGGTGCATTCAGGCAGCGGCTAGAGACTCGCTCCCCGGCCGCTGCTGCATTCCGCCTGCGTGGGAGAGCGAGCCGGCGATCGCGCGGCGCGGGCGGGTACGAGTGTGTGTTGGTGCGAGTGTGTGAGGAGTGTGCGTGTGTGAGTGTGTGCGCGCGCGCGGGGCGGGGGTGCGCGGGATCACAGATCCCCCTCGGCGCCCATCCCGGGCTCTGCCTCCTCCGCCTCCCCCTGACGCTGCTGCCTGCACAAGGTCCAGGTTTCAGGATCTCCTGTTTGTTTAATGAAAGGAAAGGAGCAAAAGCTGACGGGGAGGGGGCAGAAGGGGGAAGCAGAGAGGCGGGGAGGCCGTCCGGGCCGCGCATGCTCAGAGAGGGACATGAGTGTTCGCTCCGGAGCTCAGGCAGGGCGAAGAGAGCAAAATGCAATGCAAGGCGAGCGAGGTTGAGCCCATCCGAGCAGCCAGGGTTCCTCCGGGTTCCCGAAAGGCAGCAGGGAAACCCCAACGCAAACGTGCGCCTTGCGTGGGGACTCCGGGGCTCCCGTGGCTCTGGAAACCAGTGGCGGGATTTCCACCCAACCTAGGTGACTGCTTCTACTGCGAGCCTTCGGTAACGACGGGCTGTCCTCGCCTAGGTATTTTTAGTGATTGAGCCGGGGATCCCCAGGGCAACAGTGATGCGTCTGCTCAGAGGTCCAGAAGGAAACACAGGCTGCAGGTGTCACCTGAACTGAAATGAGCTCCTGATTTGTGCTTCTTTCTTTCTTCCTCTTCCAACTTCCATCCTGTGAAAAGCAGAAAAGGGTAACAGCGTCCACTTGGGCCCCCAAACAGGTTTGGTGGGTCTAGGGTGGAAAAGAATACCCAATAATCCTCTTCCAAAGAACAAGAGGGGGATGGAAGGAAGGTGAGTTTCCAAGGACTCCATACAATACTCAGCCTCCTTTGGTGATGGGGTTAGATGGAGAAGGCACATTTGCCCTATTCAAAAGGGCAAAAAAAAGAACAATGGAACCATTGTCCCATTTGTCTTCTCTTCAATGCCAAAGCAACTCTAGGCTTTCATATGTGGGGTTTCTGGCTACTTGGTTAAGTACAAGAACTGTCAACTCCAGTATCCAGTAAGAGAACCTGAGCCCGCGATGGCCCAGTAACCTGAGGCCAGGGGAGATGGCCAATGAGAGTCTTTGCGAGTCGAGTGGAAACTCTTCCTTGGTGAGATTGTTCTATGTGCAAAACAGGCAAATGGTGAGGACCCACTCCAAAGCTTCCATTTTTCTCCTCTCACTGTCATCACACTGCCTTCCCTCCACCCCCGATTTTCTCCCCTACAGAGAAGACATCTGAAGCAGGGAACTTCCTGCAAGGATATTCCTTCTTAATTTTCTGTATCACCAAAAAAGGACCACCTTTTGGTCACTCCAGCTTTAGAAGGATACAGGAGGGCCTGCTTTGTGCGAATTTGTTCTAAGCTTTCATTAAAGATCACCTCTGAGTACTTTCAGTATGCAGTGCAAGAGAGCAGATGCCTTCTTGCTGAACTCTGACCCATGTCCCATTCATCTTCCCAATAATAATGCCGTGTGACACTCTAACAGCAGGACAATTAGATCAAATCCTAAAGGACACCCGGAGGAGAGAAAACAGCATGTCTAAAGGCCACCAACAAAAAGCAAAGTTTAGAAGAAAAGACTTAGGGAAGGGTAGAAGGATGGGAAAGTTCTTGAAAAGAAGAAAGTATCCATGATGTGATGGCAAATACCTTCTCCCAGCAGCTCATTGAAAGTATGCCTTTGGTTAAAGGACAGAAAGTCTGAGTCTCCATCCACCCAGTAGGGAGACTAGGTTCACCTGGAAACAGCAAAGTCTCTATGGTGAGCCACCCTTAATATTTGGGGCTCCTACTTCCATGTCTCTTATTATTAGTCTTTCCCTTTGGTATTGGGCTTATTGGAAGGCATTCAAGACAGGCATTCAAGAAATGTTGCTACATTTTCTTCAGAACAGTGAATAGTGTTTACTGGAATATCAAGATGTTTGCATTGGAAGAGCCAGTTGGCTTCCTCGAGGTAGGAAATCCTTTCTACTTGCCTTGTCCCCATATAAGCACTACATAAGAGATGAGTGAGGGCTCTGAGTGAACTAAAAAATAGTGAGAGTTAGAACAGAGAGGTGGGGATAGGGCAGGTGCAGGTCTCAACTTTTCAGTTCTATCGTAGGAGGTTTCCTCCTCTAGTATGTCCTTTGTCTGAGCCTGGCTTCGATGAGAAGGAAAGGCACAGCACTCCCCTCTGCAGCCAGGCAGTGCACCTCTTCACCTTCTTAATGCAGAAAGTAGCTCCAGCAAGGTCAAGGGTGATGGAGATTTTATGCACTTGAAATTGCAAATAAGGTGGAATCCCTTTATTATGCTTCTGCTACAAGACAGTGAAACAGGCAGTTCTGGAATAGAGTTTTACTGTTTGGGGACAGTGAGAGAGGCACAAGGGACATTAAATGAGATAATGTACATAAAACACTTAACATATTGCCAAGCACATAACAAGCTTTTTGCAACTTGTAGTGCTCATTATTTTGGTTATTAACATTTTCATTTCTATGATGTTTAAAAAAAAAAAGGCTGAGGACATCTTTTCTCCTAAGCTTAAACAAGTAAAACAGATGAAAGCCACATGCCTTCAATTTTCCTTGACTTCCTTCATCGCCCCTTGCCCATCATTCTGATATATTTAAATCCATGTAATAGAAAGCATGCTATAAAAAATCATGAAGCAGTGTGAATGGTGAGTAACTCCAACTCTCACCCTTTCAAACTCAAATCTAGACATCAGGGTGAGACCATATTGTCTTCCCATAATATTCCTCCATCATTTCTTGCTACTTACATCTCATAGTGGTTAAGGAACCCCCCTGTCGTAACACTCCACCTACATTGGCATCCAACCTTTTTTTGTGCCTTCTTTCTAAATTTAGCTATCAAATGTAGGAGTACCTCCTAGGTAACAAAATGCCCAGCACCAATTAATATGCACGCACCTGCAGATGATTTTGAGAAAAATTAATACAAAGAATTTCAGTGGCTCTAGGTATTTTTCAATGGTCTAAGTCAGAGTTCATTCTCTTTACCTAGATAAAGGACAATCCCTAAACCTTGCACCTGTCTCCAGCCACCAAAGAACAAATGTCTAATGGCTTCACCCCTCACATCATCAGGATAACCCAGCTTTATGACCTAACTACATGTGAAATTATTTATTTTTTAAGAACTAGCTATTAAAGTTTAAATAGAACTAGCTACTCAAAACATAATATTGACATCACATAAATTCTAGAATTACTAAAAACAAGTAATAGATGAAGAAATGGAACATTATACTCTCCAGAGTTATGGATGCTATAGAGATATCTTGATTCTTGGAAAATTATAAGAATATAATTGTATTAGTTTAAGAATTGGTGAAATAGTATTATAGTGATGCAGTGTATACACAAGTTCTCTTCTGAATATTTTCTAATAAATATGACACATCCCATTTAGATTTTAATTATGTTCTATCTATAATTTTGGTCATTTCCAAATTCCACTCTAATGAGAGAAATACATACATAATTTTTCTTCTTACAAAAATTTAGTGTATATAACAGTCTTTTCTGGTTTAGAAAAATGCCAAGCAATGACTATAACGGCTAAATTAGTGATGCTGTATTGTAAGAATCACAAGTAGGGGGAGGGATGGCAGAGTGGCTCAAACAGTAAAGTGTTTGCCTCACAAGTCCAAGGCCCTGAATTCAAACTCCAGTATTACCAAAAAAAAAAAAAAATCACAATTTTTCACTGACTATCAAGAATTTTAACAAAACTATCACTATAACCCCTTACATATACAAGTAACTCTTAGCATATCAAGTCGTTTTTAATGTCCCAACAGGGTCAGTTATAAGTCACTCAAGGTAAGAGCTTGCTCTCTTTTTTTCTTTTTTTTCTTTCCTTCCTTCACACCCCTGGGCCTTGTGAACAGAAGCAAGTGTATGTTTAGTAAATTTTTAAAGAATGAATGAATAAATACATATACCAGAATTAATTTGTGTCGGTAATACGTTGACTTTTGAAAAGGACCTCCAAGTAGCATGATAGTTGGCACTTGTTAAAGATGATGAAGTCAATTGACACTATTTTAAAGCTTTTGTGTGTGATTATCTAAAAAAGAGTTGAGATGAGAAAGTCAAATCAGGTTTCTGTGGACAGTTATTATCACCTTGGAAACAAATAAATCAAGCCCATTTTAATTTTCCTGGTTCAGAAAGAGAATGAGTCTTGGCTCAAAAGATGCATATGTGTTATAGGAGCCCCCACTCCTGTATGAATTCTCCATATCTGAAATAGTAATAATCAGAACCTCTTAATGATTCCCCCACTCATCAGTTCTCCGATTTTATTTTAGGAACTTCATTGGGAATTGTGAGAATCATGAGTCAATCTTCTTTGGAGTTTCCGTGCTGCTGACATCCACCATTTCCTGTCTGTGGATTACGTATCAATCCAGAAGAGGAAGATCTGTCAAAGCCCATCTATCCTTTTCGTTCTGTCCCATGTGCCAACCTGGAACCCTTCATTCCTGAAGACTGATATATGGCATTAGTACCTTCATTTTCATCATCTTTAAAATGAGAGAGGTGAACTAAAATATTCAATCATCACTTTTTAATAGTCTAGTCCAGAGATCTACAAACTTACCCTGTACTGGACCACATAGGTATATATTTTAGACTTTGTTGGCCATATGGTCTCTGTCACAACCACTTATCTCTATAGCCATAGACAGTACATAAAAGAATGAGAATGGCTGTGTTCCAGCATTTTTTTTTATAAAAACAGGTGGTGGGCTAGATTTGGCCCATAAACTATAGTTTGCCAACTCTGAGTTTAATCTATTATTTTCTGCCCTTCACCTCTGTCATCAGCAATGTGTTGGGTAGAAGGCATTTGAACCTTGCTTTCTGTATGCCTGTAGCAAAACAATAAAACCATGACATTGGTGCAGAAAACCTTAGCTCACTGTCAGTTTAGGGTCTTCTTGTCAGCAAGCATGACTTTCACGTTTTCTTAATGCACTCAAAAATTGTGGGGTTTTTTTCTATTTATAAAGGAGTTGACTATGTTTTCTACATGGAACAGTGTCAGCAATAGCAACTATGCTATTTTTGGCCTAAAACTAACTCATGAAGCCCTAGAAGAAGAGTGAGAGAAATATTTTGAAGGAAATGGAAAAGATAACATATGCA